AAGATTTAATTAGTTCAGTATTTCTCCAATCAATGATTCGAAACGAAACGTGTGAACGAATAATTTTTTTGAAAGCCCTAAGTATATTGAAGATTGGCTAAACCATAAAGACATAGGATAAAATACGATTTTATTCACAAAAGTAACAAAAGCCGCCTCGAGGATCACCTAAGTTCACTTGCGTGACAAACTACCAGGGTCAGATTAAAAAAAAACTAAATGGTGTATAGAAAAGAATTAAATTAAAATCTGAATTATTTTTTGATACCAAAAAAAAATCTTGAAAAAAACATTTTTTTAAAAAAAATAGTAACGAAAATGTTTTTTCCAAAAGCAATTATTTTGTTTAAACAGAGAAGTTCTTTGAATAATTCAAATCAGACGCTTAGTTCACTCAAAACTGCCATTTTTTTGCACATTTAGCTCTGTATGTTCGAATGGCAGGACCTGCCTTTGCCAAAAACTAATCAGCACATCCCCTATCAATAGGGATCGAATGTTTTTCAAACCATTCAAATCGGTTGACCCGTGGATGAAAAATGCAGACATACACAAACACACCACACACATCAATTTTTTCGAGATATGCCAAAATATTCAAAACCTTCAAAACGTCGAGAAATGCAAAAATTTTCGTTTACGATTTCGGCCTATTACTATGACGGAAGTTAATAAGTGTTATTAGAAGGTACGTGTGAGGATACATATTTGATACTGGCAACGGCAGAGAACTAACCTCCAAATGGTATAAATATCAAAAAGAAACATTAGTTTGACTTCAGACATATTTCATTAATAAGTGCAACAACTCTAAAGTAACTTATTGCTTAAAGTAACTAAGCGCTTATCACATTAAAACAGTGTTTTCAACTTTTTTTGCATCCTCTTATTTTTTCAACAGTTTAATTTTATAATTATTCAACTGATATTAATTTATAGTATTATGTTAAAAAATGCATAAAAACTGATTGTTTTTTGTTTATTTTTTAATATCGTTCGTTCAAAAAGATTGGATTATTTTCGATAAATGTACTCTGGAAACAGATGTACGGGCCCCACAGGTTGGGAGCCGCTGCATTAAGCCGTGAACTTATAAAAATGTAACTGTGAAAAGCTATTACACTTTTTTAAAATTATATTACCTTCGCTTATTTGGTTTATACTATTCATTTTTATTATTCTTTATCTAACATTACTTCTTGTTCTAACATCTAATTCTTTTCTATCTCAAAATAACAATTCAAATTCTACTTCAACCAAACGAAATGATAATTCTGTCAGTACCAGGACTCGAACCAAAAACCCTTCGGACATCAGCTATTACACTTACAGTACCATTTTGAACAAAATAATGTGTAACCCAAAATATATAATTAAAATAACTTCGTCTTCTATTACCTGTTTCTCGTTAGTCGAGTCCTTTCCCTCCGAATAGTCTCCCGATCCCGAATCGAACCCGAAGTCGTCCTCGTTCTCGGGCGAAACGGAGGCGGCGGCCGTCATGCGCCTGAACAGATCGGCGGTCGTCTGCACTTCATCGTGCTGCGTCGGGCTCAGTCGCTCGTATTCGGGCGTACCCGCCAGCAGGCAGGAGCACTTGACGCCTGATGGCAGTCGGCACCAATCTGGAAGAGAAAAAGAAATAATTTGAATGGGGTAAAAGACAAGAAGGGAAATAATATTGTATAGCTTATAGTTTATAGTTTGGTGAAAAGTCTCAAACATAAAAAAATTTTCACCACTAAACGCTTTATTGTACGTTACATAATCATGAACATTACCACTCAACTTCTGAGTGACTTTGAACATGGGTGAAATTTGATATGTTCAGTTGAGACCAACTAGTATGCACCACTAGTTTCCGTTTAAACAATCAAACAGGACAGAATTTTTAGTTTTAGTTATTTCGTAAGCCTATAATATTTTTAACTTCCCGAAGAAGAAGTTTATGTTTTCATAAAAAAAATTGGATTCGCTAATTTTATGTTTTCTCGACGTTTCAAGCCATTCTGAATCGAATGAAACCAAATTTGGAAAAAGTATGTGTGTGCGTGTGTGTGCGTGTATGTGAACAGATTTTTTGCCGTAAATCGACGTTTTCTCATAAACGGCTGGATCGATTTCAAAAATTTAAAAGCCATTCGATGTATCTCGATGAGGACTAGCGTTTATCAATTTTGCGCGACGATCAGCCAAGCCGTTTCTTTATAAATAGCAGAAAAGTGAAAAAAATTTCGTCTACGTTTTAGCCCGCAATTCTGAACCGATTATGAAAATTCAAAAACCGTTCGAAAGATATTGATTGGGAATCCTGCTGACTAGTTTTTGGTAAAGATCGGCCGAGCCGTTTTCTTGTAATAAAGTGTTAAAAAAAATTTTTCGACGATTTTTGTTATTTTTTTGACGGTAGATACTGTACTCTTTTACATCATACTAAAATATTACGGCCCTACGACAATTGGTTTAACTTTGAAAATTCGTCAAAGTTTGCAAAAATTAGTATCGTTTTTTTGGCATTTGTCAAAATTAGACCTTTTATCGACGTTTTCTCAAAAACGCCTGAACCGATTTCAGAAATTTAAAAGCCATTTGATGTATCTTGATGAGGACTATCGTTTGTCAGTTTTGTGCGACGATTTGCCAAGCCGTTTCTTTGTAATTTGAAAAAAAGTGTTAAACTTTTCGTCCACATTTAAGCTCT